GAAAAGAAGTTCTGCGCAAAAGTACTTCCGCCCCTCTTTTTCCGGCAACGCAAAAAGGAGAATTCTACTTAGTAAGGGTTAGTTAGTTAGTTGGTTGGGTAAGGCACTGCGACCGGTAGGACTATTGTGCCCCTAGCTCATCACAACACCTCAACCAGGCTCAGGGTCTCTATAAATTTCATAATAGACCCGGGGACAGTGAGTGTAAGTCCTCCTCTCTTGGCCACACGTGCCCTATGCTCCTATACCTCCTGCGTGCAACGCCCTCACACTCCATAAGAAGGTGTAGGGGAGTCTCCTTGGCCGCATCGCAGAAGCGACACAGGTCGCTGGATCATATACATAGTTTACACAGGTGCCCTCTTAGCCTACAGTGGCCTGTCAAAAATCCTGTAATAATTCTTAGTTTCTCCTTTGGGAGATCCATGAATAGCCTGTATCTTGTCCTAATATGCTTTTAGCCTGACGTTGACCCATAGTGCCACGCCAGTGCAGTTCTCTCAGTTTGCAATTGTCCGTTCTGAGCATTTCCTTTATAGTACTAGGTCCCACTGCCAGAAAGGGCTCAGGTCCTATCGGGGTCGAGGAGGCGGCCATTCCGGTCAGATGATCAGCCTCCTCATTTCCTGCAACCCCCATGTGCCCTGGTACCCACATTAATTGGATATCATTAACCTCCGCCAGAGCATTAAGCCTCTCGACACACTTAAAAATCAAGGAGGACCAGTGGCGGATACGCGATTGGGATCAACTTGTTGAATAACGTTAAATTACAGGCATCTAACTTGTTTGACAGCGGATTGACCAATCGAAGCTATATGACCTACAGGCATCCATCCTGCTTGATCCCTCATGTTGAGAATTTGGCGTAAGGTCCATTTACAGAGTCCCATGTAATAAAACAATTATACTATTTTGTAAAAAATACAAGAAAAAAAGTTATGCTCTGGGTTTATTAAAGCAGTATATATTTGTGTATATCGCCAGCTTAGAGTGCAAAGTTGCTAAGTCCATTTTTTCAATTGTACAGGAGATACAAAAAACGTTCCTAAGTAATTTTCTTTAAGTATTTTACAAAACTTTGAATGCAATGTTTCGCGTTTTTCATTTTCCCTTTATTAAAAAAATAATAATAAAAAAATCTGCTTTTTTACAAATTTTGTGGATAATTTTGTGACTTAGCAAATTTTCTACTTTTTTCCTAAAATTTTCTTGTTGGACTTAGCAAATTTTCCATGAATTTTTCCAATATGTACAATACGAAAAATCCATCACGTAGGTACATTTTAAGAAACAATTTGTTAGAACAAATTGTTTAGGTTCTTTTAATAATAATACTAACACGAGGGAACAGTGATTTTGTTGCATCAAATGTTAAAGCTGTTTTCGAATAAGACCAATTCTTGTTAAAAATTCTGGGTTCAGCAAAGAGGTTTGGGCATATTATTAGATAATGAATCCGTTAACGCGAAAGATAAAGTCAAATATCATTTCTCGCAGCCCTTTAGCTTATCGTTAATCTCAAAGTTACCTCTTTTCAATAAAATTTTAATTGTTCTCTTGATAATTGCACTGGCCTATAGTCAAAAAATGTAAAGAAATGTAAAGCATTAATATTGCTGGCGTGCATTTAGGTCGCTGGTTCCAAATATTCTAATCTTTTTTTAATATTAGCTATAGTTTGCGAATTTTTGCAAATTTAGGAACAATTTCGGTAGCTCTAATAGAAAAGCCATTATTTTCCATCATCGTGGAAAAATGTTGTTTATGCAAATGAGTATGGGAGCACAACTTCTAGAAACACTAATTAGTTTACTTATGTTAATTCATACAATATAAAAATTGCAAATATAGGAAAATGACAAAAAATTTTGTAAAATTTTTTTTTTATAAATAATTTGTTTATAATCTGAATGATTTTCATCATATTATTATCATAAATCAGTAATAGCAAGTCTCGTAATTATTACGTACCGATCGAGTAACATTAACCAAAGTTATATCGTTAAGTGGACCTCCAGTTTTTCTCTAAAAAAAAATTTCTCTTCAGTTGTATAAATAACCTTTAAATGAAAGAACCGGATTACAGAAAAGTATGCCAGGGAGTGACTTTTTTCGTTCAAGCTAAATGCAAAGCAATATCGTCCAACGGGAG